CAAAGTACTTTTAACTACTCTGAAACAGCCCAGCGTAGCCGGGTATGCAAGCTGGTATATATATATATATATATATATATATATATATATATATATATAATTTCTAACGACCTTTGCCTGATATTAAGTCTTTTTCCTAAACGACAATTTCGGGAATAAAGTACTATCCAATTTGGCCTCATGGGACTTATCAGATAATTTTTGCTTATTTTCTCAGCTTTTCTTCGTAGATCAATTGCACACTTTACTTGCTGTAGACTGAAAATAATTCGCATATTGATCCTTCAGTCTTTGTCAAGTGATGTTCTTTCGTATACTAGATGCTGCGCAAACATCTTCCGCCACCTACCTACTTTCGTATTGCATAAGCTAAAATATTGCAAAAACGAGTACGTCAACATGCGCAAAGCAACCATTCGCATTCTTGCTGGACGTAGAAGCTCACAAGAGTGTGGTACTCACCTTGCCTCCGGTTTTGAATTTGATCCGGGTAGGTGGAAATTGTCTTCAAATTTGGAAATCCTTTCAAATAAGAAATGATTTAGAAGCAGTCTCGGCAAAGTCCCGGCCTCACGCTTCCGTTTATGCACGGCACCACCCTTCTGAACGTTCTATTGCCATTCGCAGAACTAATATTGTGCGTTATCTAATTAACAAAGCATCGCTTACTGAAGCGAGTTTAGCAGGAAGTTTGGTAAGCATCAAAGGCGAAATTTATGTTTTCATTTTTTTATACTTGTTTCTAGGGGACGACCGATTTAATCACATTACCTAAATTTCGTAGACAAGTAGTTGTTCTTCCTACAAATGATGGCTATACAAAGGTTCTTGTATGTTTTCTTTCTTGAACGACAAAAGAATGGTGAATTTTAGTGCTACGTCGAAGCACCTCAGGTTTCTGTGGAACACGAGAATCCTAACGAGGTGCTAATGGTAACCCCACAGGACCTTTCAGTGCAGTACGTTTATATTTCTCTTCCTGTAAATTTGTAAAGCGACGTTTCATGCTGACCTCGAAGATATATGTAATCTGAAATTTGGTAGTGTTTCGCTATCCTCAATTTTCTAGAGGAAATGACCATTTTACCAGATTCAGCCGGAGACAATTTTCTCAATGAGAAGTGCTTGTGCACACATGCCCATCGCGATTTGTTGGTTCAAATCCGTTGCCTGTAAACTCTGCATCACTGTCATGCTTCTATCATTTGGCTGAGTTCTAGAGAGATTGTATGGTCCGCAGACCATTGCATCCGTGATTTGCTTTCCCGCTGGCTCTAACTGCATCTTTCAATCTCGGGAAGATGGTCTACCAAAAAGCAGGGAGGA